CAGGGAAGGGAAACTTTCCGAAAGGCCGCGGGGAGGAGCGGGTGTCGCGGACCCAGCCTTTCCCAGGCTGCCTTCACGGGGGATTCGTGCTCCAGGGCCTGCCGGACAGCCCCTTCTCCGGCCCGGGGCTGCCAGTGCCTCGGGGCTTCGGTGTCGGGGCAGGCAAAAGCAGGGCAGAGCCCCGCGCCAGGTGGCACAGCGAGGTCTTGTCCTCTTCCCCCGTCGCATCCCCCCTTTAGTGCCATCTCTTGGAGAGTTTGGGGCTTGGTGGTCAATCCAGCTGTGCTTGGTTCCACCTCTAGTATCCATTTTCTGGATATGCAGCAGCTGGGCAGAGTTGCTCCGGGTGTACCTGAGCGGTGAGCAGAGCCCCGGCCCCGCTGAGCGGGCGGGTGGCACGCTGAGGGACACCGGGGAGTGTGGCCCGAGGCTCTGGGCATCATCGCCGTGCCCTGCCCAGCTGAGTCCGCAGCAGACGTGGTCAGAGGCCGCTGGGCAATTCCAGCCTCCGTGACAGGCTCGGAACCTATTGGCCATTGTGGGGACATCTGGAGAAGTGGAGCTGCCTCCTCACCTTGTAACATCCCTCACTCCGCTTGTTCCTCTCTGTATTTTGTCTGCAGCTTCCACTGACTGCACTAAGTCCCCACCAATAAAAATATTAAAGAGAAAAAAATATGCTTTATCTTAGAGCAGCCAGAGCTTCCTTAGTTTTCCTCTACATCATTTCCTTTCCCCGGACAGAAATGTCTAAGTCTCTAACCTCACACCACGCAGCTTTTCTCTTCGAAATACCAGCCTGGGCAGTGGCAGTCGTGTTGCCACGGGCACTGTACCACCAGCTGCAGCCATGCTGCTTCTGCATGACACAGAGCAGGCAGCTTGTCTCTCACTTGGATCCAGAGATTTGACATTTATCATTCTCTGGGTGTCCATTCACTCTCTTCCTCACACTGCAGATCCCAACTGCTTCGGTTGCCACCTTGGTGTGGGGCTACTTTTTCCTCCTTTACCAGCTCCATTCGTTTCCCCTCGCCTCCCTCCATCGCTCATGCTGGGTGGGTCAGGACTTTACCTCACACACTTTCCCTCCAGCAGCTGTTCACTGTGCCAATGCTGCTGGCATCTGGTGGCACAGGAGGCTGAGGAGTGTCTCTCACAGTCCCTAGTGAGCATTTGCTCTTGTTTGCACTGTTGCATGATGAGGACTTGCCAAAGTCTGAGGCATGATTGCAATGCTTATCTCTTGGATTGGAAGGATAGGGTTTCCAAAACCCAAAGCAGGGTGCCAGCACCACTGGTAGAAAACTTTTTCTCGGATGTCCCCACAATGCTTGATAGAAAGGCTGTACCATTCCAGGGGAGTGGGGTGTAAATAATGTGGGCAGGTGTGACCAGAGATGATGGACAAGGGGAGATGACAAATACAATAAAATCACAAATGATATGGGGAAGCAGCAGAAGCTGTCAGTGTGTCTTACAACAGAGGATCCATATGGGTGTAGTAGGTTTAAACAAACAAAAGTAACTCATGCATCTTATGCACAGCTTGAAAAAGTGAGAAGTGGATGGCTCTAGGATGCCATGAACACCAGAGGCATGAGATTCAAAAGGGATTAGCTAAATTTACAAAGAGCAGATTCTCAGTGGTTATTAAAAATGTCTATCTGAGTCATCTTCCAGTTCATGAAATCTCTGAACTGACTCTTCAGGTATTCTTGCTATTCTGCACTCCCTCTGTTTGTATGATGAGTTTAAGTGAGGTGTCTGAGTTGATCTTGTTGCTGCTGATACATGCAGTTGTACGTCCCTCCCAAAATTACTCAAGTGTATGTGCTGCTTCTTCTGCACCAGTTCTGGGATTTGTTCAGTTTATCAAACTGGCAGACAACTACCTCAGAGTGAGCACTCAGAGTGAGCACTTCTCTGCCTCTAGTGAGCTGAATTAGCCCACTGTTTTCTAAGCCAGTGGTTCTTGCTTCTCTCTGCAAACTAGAAGTGGAGATTCTCCTGTTATTACCTGATTCCAGGTGTTCAAGTTTTAAGTATTTAGAGGATCAGTGTCATGATAAGATCTTGGTATTTGTTGAATTAATTTCTAACAGCTCCCAACAGAGCTGGAGCCTTGGTTGTGCTAGGTGCCACCCAGAGTTTAGGAACAGTATTAAGCAGGGAAAAAGAAATAGAATCATGCTTGTGTGGACAGAACTGCTGCATGGCTTGCTAGGCTCACATCATTACTAGCAGCCTATATGGCAATCTGGGTTTTGTTGGGTTTGGGGTTTTGTGTGTATAACTGTTTCTTGTTCCTAGAATCAGCAAGGTGCCACCATGAGCCCCCACAGAAGCCCGCAGCCATGTCAAAGTGTGACAACAAAGGCACTGAGAAGCCTGCAGCACATAAGAAACAGGTTGATGTCTTGTTAGTTTGTACTTCTTCCTCTCAGCCAAAGCGCATGCTGTGGCAGTACAGTGAGATCTCCATCTCCTCAAACCAAGGGGTTTCATATCAGTCTTCACCAGCTGCATAAGGAGCCAGAACCTGACACACCTGGAGAGCACCAGGATGGGGAGTGGCAATTCCTGGAAATAATAAACAGGATTTACACACACTATGGGTAGAGTTTGTCTGAATACATCAGATATCTCCACTACTGATTCTTCTACACAAGTCTCATTTCAGTCTTGGAACCTAGGCAATGTAAATAATGTCATTAAAGTCAGTTGGTTTGAGGGGATGTTTCACCTGTTCCTGGAGCAGACATGTTAAAAATGTCAGCTGAATTAGGTCTACACATGGGGCCAGAAGGGGTGCATTTAAGGATGCCAAGGGTGCTTGCCAATATAATTTCAAGATTGGCATCATTGAAAGATGATGGTGATTGAAAAGCATTCCTGGTGATTGAAAAAAACCAAATGTCATCATACCTGTCATCAAGAATGGCAAGAAGGAGAATTCAGGCAATACTCAGCTGGTTGGTCAACCTCAACTCAACCACTTACTGCAGAGGGAGTTGTGAACTCAAAAAAGAAAAGCAGGGTACCGAGTAGTTTCCATGGTAGTTCAAAATTTGAAATTGTCTATCCATCATTAACTGCTACAGAATAGACAGGAAAATACAAACCATCATATCTTCACTGTACCAAAATACCTTTTGCATTAGAATATCAGAGTGGTAAAAAATCATAATTATCAATGAAAGCATTCTGATACTGTGTTATAAAGTGTATTCTGCAAAAACATTTCCATCATGCCATAGACTGGTCACATATACAAAACAGAAGAGGACTTTGGGGCACATTTGTTTGTGAGGATGTGATCTGTTCATCAATAGGGTTTCATATACTTAAGTAGTCTTGCATATACAGCATTTGTTCCTTTGTTCTCCCCTGACAAGGAGCTGTTTTCACATTGGTGAGCATGGTGGGATTGCTTCAACCCACAGGCTTTCAATGAGCATCTTTCTTTTATGTAGCAAGGTTCAGGTTTGTCCTAGGAGGAGGGATCATGTTCCACTTTCATTGTCCTGGCAGACTTCAGTCATGGTGACTCCTCATTGCTGACACTTATCCTCTTCCCTGGTTGTAGGGATAACCTGCAAATAACCTGGAATTTAATTGCAGGGTGCTGCAGTGAACACACATGCTTTGACATATATTTAGCTATTTCTTCTGTATTCAATACATTTTACATGATCATTGAAATAACTATCTTCTTGGACATATCTATATGTACTTCTATACAAATATAACATGTTTTAACTTACCTCTGTGCTCAGTATTGTAAGAACTTCACTGGAGAGGCACTGAGATACCACTCAACCCTCATGTACCTTCTGTGAAATGCATTTGTGTGCTCTGGACAGCAATTCACAGAGAATTGTAAAACATGGTAAATATGGACATTGACCTCTGTGACATGAGAGCCTCCTCCTTTCAACTCAGAGGCTGTGGGTGTCATTTATCTTTAATTTATGATCATCCCTAGCAAGTGTTTTCATCTGCCAGTTCCATATCACTGTTTTTTCCAATATAAATTAGTGAGGCACACTATCAAATATTTACTAACAAGAATGGTGTAATATTAGACCATGTGCCTTTTAAAACTAACCTATAATCTAATCAAAGAAAGGGCCTACTTTGTTTATTCTTGAATTAAACTGTGTCAAAGAAGAGTGTTGGATAATCTTCCTATGTTGTATTTTGCCATTCTGTTCATCATTGGAAGTCTTCAAGAGTAGGAAATGCAGGAAGAGAACAAAAGCATAGTTGTTTCAGGCAGGGAATGCACTAGCCAGTCTCTCAAGGGCCCTTCCAGGACCATGATCTGTAATTTTGGGAGAATAGAAGAGCCATGTCCCAAACAGAGGAGCCTTAAATGCCTTCAGTGAGAGAGAGGACTGCTGTTCTATGAGCACACAACTGCTCTGACTCTGCTGCATGTGGGTGGTCCTGGGGCATCACTTTATGCTTCATCCTCTGCAGAGGCACCAGCAACTGGGAGAAGCTGCAATGCTGAGCTACAAATGCAAAGGAGAGGCTGAAAGCTGTAGTGGGACATGCCCTGTGGTGGAGTGTGCTGGGATGGCCACAGCAGTGGATGGTGGGGATGAACTGGGGCAGGCTGAGAGGTGGAAGGGCAGTCAGAAGGATGATGGGGTGATTTTCACAGCAGTGCATGGCTCTCATACTCACTATACACTTCTGACATAAAATGCCCAGAGACTAAAACGTTGCATGAAATTTGGGCTGCACCACTTGTCTGAGACTTCATCCAAGACCTCCATGAGCCAGCTTCCCACCTGCCAAATCAGGGAAGTGTGTGTTAGAAGGGACCTGCTCTGTGACCCCAGCAGAGGGTCCTGACAGTGATTTCTGGCCAGTTTGTTTGACCAGTACTCAAAGAATACCAAAGACAGGGATGCCACATCTACCCCAACAATCTTAATTACTAAGGAAAATTTTCTTGGTGTGTCACTTTGTTCTCCCCTCTCTAACTTCCCATATCTTGTCACCAAGGAGTGAGTCTTCTGGCTATTTTATGAGGTCCTAGTCATTCCACACTGGCACTAACCATATTCTCCTGTTTCAGTTTATGCACGCAAAAACATTAAATGACAGAAATATAAGATCAATCATTTTCATGCTATTTATTTTGTAGCATTTCTGCAGTGGCTGTTCATGACAAAATGTGTAATAATTAATTCAAATAAATTGTCTCCTTTCTACACTTCACCAAAAGCACAGCTCCCAGTGCAGCATTTGTGAAATATCCAAATAATTTACATCTGTGCTATGCTGCTCTGCCCTGCTGCTGATTATAGTCAGGCTGTGTCACACATCTCCTGAAAAAGTTACAGGTTTTATCAGCTTCACATGGGTAAGATACGTGCCACAGAAAATGTAAGTATCAGATCCTGCTCTCCAGAAACTTTCTCAGCCGAAATAAATGGTTAATAATATACAGCAGAAATACTCAGGTCTTGTAAATACAACACACAATTTCCTCCCATTAGGTTAGAAAGTGTGGTAGAACTGGATAACGAGTCACCTCATCACACAAGACAAGCTCCCTGGTTGTTCACACACCTTGCCTCGTTGGAAAGTTTATTTCACGTGTCATTGATCTTATATACAGACATGATCACTGCAGAGACCATGGACAAGTTCATGCCAATGTACAATCCCAGACAGAAAGTATCAAATTGGCAAGAAATTCCCAGTTACATGCACAGAACAGGGTAGCAGCAGAGATGGCAATTACCACTCCTTTCCTTAGGAATAAAAGCGTGGAAAGTTGCAGGTAGGCTGTGAGATTGCACAAAGGTTGGTTACACAAGAGGAGAGTCTCAAGAGGAACACTTTTTGAAAAGTATTAGTTTTTGGAAAGCCTGTTTAAATTCTTCATTAAAAGCTGTATAAATGACTGGATTGATTAATGAGTTTAGGTAACCCAACCAGGTAAAAAAGTCCAGTAGGATGGGATGAAACCAACAGGCATCTTGGCAGATTGGTAGGACTAGGGATGTGACAAAAAAAGGCAGCCAGCAGAAAATGAAAGCTCCTAGAATAATGCCTAAAGTTTTGGTAGCTTTCCTTTCTCTTGCAGCAGAAATTCTTTTCCTTTCCAGCGCACTATCTGCAAGTTTTATTTTAACATGACCAATAAATATTGGGGATCTACCTGAATGGGAATGTCCTTCATGGAGGCTAGCATTAATGGAGCAGAGGGAAGAGCCTGCAGAACCAGTAATCAGGTGTGCAGTAGTAAAACGTTTCCCATACAATGAGGGTGGCTTCAGAATCCTGGATCGAGCTGCTACATAAATTCTGCCATACAATATCAGGAGGAGCACGGTTGGGATGTAGAAAGCTCCACAAGTAGAATAAATCGTGTAGGAAATTTGATCTGTGTTTACAGCACACTTGGCAATTTCTTCATGAGCTTTCACTTGCCTCCAGAAAAAGGGTGGCACCGAGATACTGATGGATATCATCCAGACCACGGCAATCATGAGGGCTGCTCGGCCAGCAGTGCGGCGTTTGGTGTATTCCAAAGCGTCTGTGATAGCCCAGTATCTGTCCAGTGCAATGACACAGAGGTGGAGGATGGAGGCTGTGCAGCACGTGATGTCTGATGACAACCAGATGTCACACAGCAGCTGGCCAAAGGCCCACGAGTGGGTGACAGTGTAGGCAATGCTGACTGGCATCACGAGGACAGACACTAAAAGATCGGTCACTGCCAAGGAGCCAATGAGGTAATTTGCAGGTGTGTGGAGCTTTCTAGTCAGAAAAATTGTGATAACCACAAAAACATTTGCAAGGATTGTTGCCAGAGTTATAACAGACAGAAAGATTGACAGTGAAATCTTCAGCCCTAGGAGTGTCCTTTCATCCCAAGACAGCGGTGTTTCAGTGAGATTTAATGATTTATTTGCTGAGCTCTGGAGAGAGAACTGTGCTGAATGGTTGTACTCGGTCATCCTCTGCTCCGATTTCACCTTCCAGTGTAATCTTTCTGAGATGATGAAGAAAGATACTCACTTTCTTTTGATAAAATCGGATTTTTCATACTTTGGTCCAACACTGAAGAATTATTAACTTGTTGAAAACTTCATCTGACACAGTAGATGAGGTACCCTCCTATGCAAGATTTTTCATCACATCATTACATCATTGTTAAAGCAAAATGTCATCCAGACATGAGTCTGGTGTATGGCAATGAAAACAGTACTATAAGTGTTGGGAATTTAGGTGATTTTCATCTTGAAGAAAGCAAAACAATTCTTTATTATCTTTTTTTCACACCTCCTTCCTGACCAACTCTTCTGCAAAGTTGCATATATCAATACTGAAGGGTCAGAGATGGAAAAGAAACATCTGAGCATGCAGTTATGCCCCTTTGCTTGAGACAAATCTACCTTCAAAAGTATTTTCCTTTTCCCTCTAATAGTTTAGTGTCATGGTTTTGGTATTTACAAGGGACACTTTATTAGTATTTATTTATTAGCAGAGTACCTAACATATAAAACAATACTTCTGGATTCCGTCTGTAAACGTAATTTCTGCCAGATTTGCAAATCAAGACTTCTTCAAGTACAGCTCTCCACATTCATTTATTTCTCCAGATTATTCAGGTTTTCCCTTCAACAATCAGTCTTCAAAAGCTGGAATCAGGTGTTGGGTACCAGACCCAAAGCACTGGCACACATTACAGCACACTATGCAAGCTACAGGCTTTGCATGGTTTTCCTTGTATTCCCCAGGACTGGATTTCCTCAAGTTCTTCACAAACCTGAAGGAAACATCCTGAGGCAGATTTCCATCAGGCCTCACTTCCACCCATGACCACCAGAATGTCACCTACATTATGCCAGCCCAACCCTGCTTGGAAGATCCTGAATGTTGTGAGTGGCTTTGAAGTGTGCTATGAGGGCTACAAGGAGGAACTCCGAGCTTCTCCAGGGAGATAATCACCAGGCCAGCCTTCTCCCAGCCATCAGGGTCCCTCTCTCAGTCATTGCTGGTCCTGGTTCATGCCATCCAACACAGAACAGGGAGTCACTCAGCTGGGAATCTGTGGAGCAAGAGGAGCACAATATTCTACATGAAACATTAGCACTTTGAACTCAAACAGCCTCTGTTAAGCTCCTAAATTCTAATGTAAGAAGCAACAATTTTCACATTTCCTTTAAGTTCGCACTGAAGTTAGAGGAATTAGGGAATTCATTTTCTTCTCTTGAAGCTGGAGGATTGCAAAGGGATGGCTGAGAACAGAGCTAAATTTCAGCAAACTACTGAGAATTCATTTTGTGACTGATTCTCACTTTTCATTTAAATGTAGCATCTACTAATTAGACCAGATCTATTCTGTCATGCTGAAAGTGTGATCAACAGTGAAGCTGCTTCCAGTGAGAGCCAACAGCAGGTGCCAGAAGGCAGGACAGGAGGTGGCACTCTGGCCAAGAGGAACCCCTCTGAAGATCCACTTCAGAGCAGAACCTTAAAAGAGGGAGCAATTTTGAACAAGTTCTTGTATATTTGGTGCAATTAACTCAAGCATACATCACAGAGTAAGTATAAAGCCCAACCTGAAGACAAAAGCACTGTTCAAACAACATGAAATAACATTTAGAATTAGCTCAAGAAATCTGCCCATCCAGAGATCAAAACCAAACCTGGATGCAGCTCCTGGGAGAAAACCAGGCAATGCTATAGTGTATTGCACTGAAAAATCAAAAATCAAAGGTGCAGTCTATGGAAATTCTGTTTGCATGAGAATTGCTGGTCAAGCCCAGCAGTAGCTGGGTGCTTTAGGGCTGAACATCTCTCTTCACTACCAGTGAGGGGAGCTGGTAGAGAAGAGTTGGTGTTTCTGGAAGAGTATACCTGACTGTGAGTGTTCACTCCAGCACGGCTCATGCAGCATGGCAAGATGTCTCATCTGCCAGGATCATTGTGACTATTCCCAAGTAAGTCAGGCATTCCTATTTTGTTCTTTTGATATACAGAACAGCATTCTAGATGAGAAACTATGTGCAAAGCATTTCTCATTTTAAATAAGCAATTATAATAATTGGCAAGCAAATATAAGCAATGTTCAGCACCTTCACTCTCTTCTCCCCACCTTCTATTTTCACTCAGATTTTAAGAAATTATTGGTATTTTTCCTCTCTTACCTTTATTTACACACCACCAATATGTATTTAGGTATCCAACCCATTGTTAATTACCAAGTTACAATTGCTGGTACAACTTACAACTAAATATTACTTATCAAAGAGAAAGTCTGGGATTTAATGGGCAGTGATTCTGGTAAATATTGCATTGCAAGAACAGACTCTACAATATGTTACCTATAAGTTCTTTGGAGGGAGCAGGGGCTGGAGCACTTGGTTCTCAGCCATAAAGTCTCTGATGACAAACATCCACCGGGAAAAATCTCCAATAAACTTTTTCGTTCTCACATTTTGTCTCCCATTATTATTCAGTGTCATACAATCAGCAGAATTTTAAGGGCCAAAGAAATACAGTGGGGTGTGAGATTGTAAAGCCAGCTGTGTCCAAGAGCCTGAAATGTCACTTACTCTGATCTGGCTGAGCTAAGTGACATAGAAACTTTGATCTGACACATCTGAGTGGTTCTTCATCTCAGACTCCATCTATGAAAATTTCTTTCCTCTCCTGTTCTAGAAGCTGTTTGTGGTGCCCATTTATTTCCAGTTTCTGAAAAGGACACCTGGAGACACCAGCATGTAAAAGTCCAACTTGAGCCTTTCAGCCTTGCCTGAAGTCTGGAAGCAATGGTTGATGGCAGGAGAGCTGGAGCAGGGACAGGAGATCAGCTTGGCTCTCCCAGCCCTGAAGTACTAGAAAGAATGGGGAATTGCTGCTACAAATTCCTACAGAGTGCCTCTAGACTGTTTTCAGGCTTGGGGACTTTTCCAAGCGTTTAATGATGTTTAAATACCTTTATTCTTAAGTGAACAAAATGTTAGCACTCATCCATTGGAGCAACAGGAGTAAGGCTCATACTGAGTGCTCTGGAAAAGGCCATTGCATTCAGAGTCCTCTGTGCTCAAATCTTCAAATCTTTAAAATCAGCTGGAATCTATAATGATAAATGCTACAGACCTGAAAAGAACAAAAAGTTCTTGCAAGTCTCATCCACATCATCCTTGTTTGTTTCAGCACTTCCCTGTGCTCTGTGGCTCTTCTATTGAAGCTTTACTGAATTCAGTTTCAGTGTGCACAGCCACCCCATGAGATTTTATCCATGAGCACGGTGGTCCCTCAAGATTTTTCAGGGCTATCCATATGCACCAAGTTTCACTTTTATGCTTTGGCCATTATTCTTTGCCTGACCTTTTTCTCCAGTGCAGAAGTCAGGAATTATATTTTTTCCAGAGAGGATCTTACAGGTTTGCCTGCAAAGGCATTTGAAAGGCATTGGTTGATGCGCTAATAGTTGCACTTACATAAACAGGTATGCCTTAAAAATACAAGCTATGATGATAGATCATAATTGGTCTGCCTAACTATAGACACTGAATTAGAATGTACCCCTGATTGCCAACAATGAGGATGAGAGAGCTTCAGAAGCTCTCTTCCTCCTGAAGCACTTCCTCACCCAGTAAATAAATGAACTTTTGCAGAAATGTAATTTACACTTCTTGGAAGCAGCACCCTGCATCCTCTTACCCTCTGTCCTAAAGGCAATTCAGGAAAAAACTGGGAACAACTTCTGCCTGAATGACCTCCACACACAGGAGGTGTGTGAAGGAACATACAGGGATTTTACCTAGACACAAGCAGGATGAAACATATTCTAACATGCAATTCCACAATTCTACTGGAAATTTTACTGTGACAGGAAAGAGGAGACCCAGTAGTTGGTGTTCTCAGGAGTGGTTTGGGTGATGCAGTAGATGGTGTGTCTCATCCAGTGGAATGAGCACTGGGGAAGAGGATTAAAGTTGAGTTTAAAGGACAAGTGCAAGGTCTGTGGTTGGGGTAGAAGTGAGCAGTTCTTTGTTGTGTGAGGAGAGTAACCAGCTCAGCAAATGCTCTGCACAGTGTGGGATCAATGTGCACATTCTTCCCGGGGCAAAATAGCAAACACCTTGGCAAGTGTGTAACTGGGAATAAGGCCCCAAATAGATCTCGTGCTGCTCATTTTGGACAAGGCCAAATGGCAGCCTGGCATTCAGCTTTGGGCGTTGTTCCCAAGAAGATACAGAGCACACAGCAAGAAATCAGAAGAAAGCAGCAGGAATCATCAGAAAAGAAAATGTGTGGGAATGAACTGCATGGGAACAGGGATGTTGGGGTTGGAAGAGCACAGCTGAGGGAGATGTTCAACAGTCTTTCTATGCATGAATGCCTGCAGAACAGGAAGGAATAGTCTGTTCCCTGTGGCTGTGACTAATATCACTGAAAGGAGAGGGGCTTAACTACAGCAAGGAAAACTGAGCCATTAGGAAAACTTTGGAGATAGTAAGAGCAGTGAAACAAAGTATTGCTAAGGGACTGTGACATCTCCATCACAGATAGTCACAAGGACAGGTCAAATAATCTTTTTGGAGTGTGATTTCCTACAATCACACAGGAAATTTACAGGAAAGTAAAGTGAATTAGTCTACCCCATGTAAAATGGTGAAAACCAGACATTTTTGACTGCAATAGAGTGTAAACTTAGCCAATTCAAAATGAACAAAAACCCAAGGAAGTGAAAGTTTTGCAGAACATCACAGTTCAGGTCTGGAACTAGCTCAGGACTCAACATTGTAGTGCTGTGGTGTTCCACATGGGCAGAGGAACACAGAATTTTTATGGCTTTCAAGAAGGGACTGGTGAGGAATGACAGAGCTGCTTATAACAACTGCCAGACAATGTCATTGAGACACCAGAGCCCCCAGGCTCCAACACTTCAGAGCATGAACACAAGGAATAAACGCCCCATGCTTGTAGCAGGTAAGAGCACAGAATATTCTCTTGACAGAGAAATCAGCCCCATGAGCATTTTCCATCTGCCTCTGGCTTTCTAAGCACTGCTCCCTAACAGCTCTCTACCCTCCTCTCTTGCTGCACTCTGATCTTTGGTGTCCTCCGCTGCCTTCAGCTTCATTTTCTGGGATGCAGACACAGGGTTCCCTGACATACAATGCTTGTTCCTTTGGTCCCTGGATGTTAGAAAGGCACAATGAAGTAGCCCTCCCCTATATGATCAGTTCTAGCAGCCCTGGCCAAGAAGCTGAACAGCTGTTGCTCTGACCCCAGTCCTTATGGCCATGATGCTGGTTATTTTTTCCTGTGGTTTAGAACTGATTCCCCCAGCCATCCCAATTTCATGGAGCTCAGAGATGGGAAAATATCTAAATTTCTTCTGCACAATGTATGTGCTCATATAGGGTCAGGAATGGGCAGGCTAGGAGCAGGCAGGAAGGAACATCTTGGCTGAGTTCTGCACTGCACCTGTGGGGATCACAGAGGGTGGATTGTGGCTTGTGTGCACACTGAGGGATATCATCACCAAGGGACAGAAAGGAATCTTTGCTCAAAAGACAAAAAAATCCAGCCAATTTTTATGCTAACTTTAGATGTCTGGATGGTTTCCTTCAGAGCTCTGTGTAGGACAGTTCTATCCAGCTCTAAATCCAGCAAGACAACTGTATTGCCCTGCTGTGTGCACGCCACAAGTGAGTGATGCTTGTCACTAAGTTTTGTTCTGCATTTAGGTGAGGACACTGCCATCATTCTCACTCTGTGTTAAGACCAAAAGCAGCCAGGCCCCTCACATCTTCCTGCATTTTGACACATCTCAACTCAAGAAATACGTTTCCCAGATTTCTAAGTAAGCTGCAAACCAGCAGTGTTCACACCATGGGTTTGATTTTTTTTTAAAATTTCCTTATTCTCTGCCATTTGCTTACACATGCTTGCATTGCTTGTACTTGATTCCCACCCCATCAGAAGTGTGATACCTCAGAAGAAAATGAATGAGTGATAACTGGTGAGAATGCTCCTCTGAGATCATCCAGATCTGGGGGTAAATGTGAAAACCAGAAAACTTTACAAGCAATATGGAAAACAACAAATTGACTTTTTGATATTTTAGTGTTTGAGAAGCACGTATGATGTACATCCTAAATCCTTTGTTATGATGCTGCTTTAACTTTAAAGACAATATGAAAAGGAAAAGCAAATTTGCCTTGAGAAACCTCACAGATCCCAGCCATTTCTTTCTGGAATAATCTGTTTAACACTCTATTGGCAGCAGTTCCTGGAAGGAGGAAGTTACAATTACAGGCAAAGTAATCCCACCTCTCTAAAGTCAGTTTCCCTCTTAATTTTGCAAAGAAATTTCTTTTCCTGGGGTTCACCTCAGGCTCCCAGCTGGGAAAGGGACTGTCTCTCTGGGGAAGCATTATTCTCCTTGAAGTCCACGTTCCAGTTTCATGCATCGCTGCCTGCAGCACGCTGGAAATACCAGACTGCAACGTTGGCAGTCCTTGCTCTTGGCTGGTTCCTGCTCTTTGTTGCAGGACTAAAGCTCATCCCAAAAGTGGCTGTCATTCATCACTGATGCAACAGGTGACAGGTGGTCTGTTGGCTCCATGTGAGAAAACAGAGCCTTTTGTCCTGAAAAGCCTGGCTTGCATCCAAGCAGGTACACACAGGTAGGGATAGCTGAGGATTCCAAGGGTTCAGTATTACAGTGGCAGCTCCTGGCTTTGTGCTAGCACCGAATTGGAGGTGACCTTTGGCCATCATCGAACCCAAAGCAGGAGTGAAGAAGAAGCCAGGCAGCTGTGTCACTCATGTGGTGTGGGAGAAAAACGGGACAACCCTTCAGGTAACCCAGAGCTTTCCACAAGGGCAATCTACTTAAAATTACAGTTCTAAAGCAGTCACTTCATTTATATAGTATTACCCCTTATATAGTACCTGGAGGAAGAGACCTGCAATAAGCATTTAAAGCTCTAAATTGCCTGTGGGCTTCCCTCCCGGATACACGGCATGAAGGGTCACTGCAGGCTGCCAGGAGAGAGGCTGTGCCTCGAAACATTCAAGGTCAGGTTGGACGGGGCTCTGAGCAACCTGATGTGGTTGAAGATTCATCTCGTGGCTGGGGGGATGGACTAGATGACCTCTAAAAGTCCCTTCCCACCCAAACCATCGGTGATTCCGTGATGGCCGTGCCCGGCGCTGCGGGGTCCCCGCTCTCCGCAGGGCGATGCCGGCGGGGAGCTCTGCCCGCCCCATCCA